GAATTTAAAACAATGCGGTGTAAGCATTTGGCAAAAGTCCCCCCACCAAATTTTATGTCAGCCAACGAAGCGGCTCAACTTTGAAGAATTATAATTAACCTTTCGCCTGAGATCAGCCATTTTGATCATGACGAAATGAAAGGTTACTGATGCATGAATTCTTTTGGGTTGGCGCACTGAACCAGTATTTTGAGTAACCGGTTTCATTTAAATGCGCTCAGTGAATAGATTTAATCAACAAATTAATTAAAAAAAAAATAGCAGGAAAGGTACCATTTAAGTGTAATCTTAGAGAGCATTATTACTGTAGTGACCTATATTTGTATCTTTAGCTAAATGATCAAGCTTAAGCAACCCCCCTCTTTTCCCTTTAGAAGCCAATGTATCGACGGGTAGCACATATAACTAAAATAAACAATACTGATACAATCAAAGTAATGACATTCCACATTAACAAAAACAAAAGGTTGAAAAGAAAGCTCTCATCAATACTAGAAAGAGCTATTAACAGATAGCGAACTTGAGAAGTCAAATTTTCTGGAAAAATTTTAGAAAGTAACGCTAATTGTTCGTTCAAGGAATACCGAATGTTTTCCTGTATTGAAACGGCTAAGTTTTAGAATCTAGGCAGCTGTACAAAACTAAACAAAGTTTGGAAATGACAACTATCAATATCTGGTAAAGTGACAATCATCTCGTTTCACAGCTAATTGCTTACGATTTGATCCCAACTGGTTCCGCTATTAATATTTACCAATCTTCCCACGATTGCAGAGACCGGGACATTTTCACGTAGGAGCCCAATCCTTGCAAACAGTGTCATAGAGTCAGCCTCTCCGGGATCAAGATCGTCTTGTGTCATGCCGCGTCCTTCTCCGAAGACAAGAATAAGGCGTCATTTCCCGCTCGAAGACGACGCCAAAGAGGGCAACACTCGCATATAAATCCCAGTCGGAACACGGACAGCGAGATATCTACCGGGCAATATATAGAGTTCAAATAATTGATATTTCTGGTGACATGTTTATTTCCTGATGTTTTGTCACTGTAGGTAACTCAACTGGTTTCACTAGGCATAAGCAGTTCCTAGAATACAAACCTCTACCCTAATAGCAGTCATTACATTTCTTTACTTGTAAAGTTTGTATAGTAAATATTTTTATTACTTCAAGCGTTATTATAATGGATACTTCATATTTGAAATAGACTCTATGATACCTAAGCTTTATGAATTCCAGCGCAGTATTAGATTGGTGGCAAAGTCTTATCATTTTACAGTTGAAATAACTAGATGTAACCATGTTCTATGCTAAAAATTTTCTTGCATCACACTTCTCGCTTGTAAAACTCTCTTCCAGCTTTTTTGCTTGTCAGTCAACTTTAATCTCCAAAAATTTAAATGCAATGTCAATCGTTATCTTGTCTTTTTAATTCTTGTTTTTTGTACTGTTCTTTTTTCTAAATAATGTTTTTTTATCATATTCTCTAACACCCAGTAACCCCCTTGCGTCTTAATGGCTTTATTATCTTGCCTAATAAATAATTTAAATAAAAAATAATTTGAAAATAAAAGACACACTGTTTTTGTTTATTAACCAGTCTGTATTATATTTATTTGTTTACGCATTTGAGAAATCTTAGTAAAGAAAAATGAGTTCGCTAGCAGAGATTGAACCATCGTCCTCATTTGTAGGGGAAACCAGCGTTATGATGTAGGGTGTTTTATCTCTCAGACACGGGAAACGTCACAGTAACTATTTTTTTTTTAAATTGCCATAGATATTCTGGCTTGTATTTTAGTTTTGAAGTTCTCCAAAACTATTTTAAAAAATTAAGGATTTCTTTTTAAGCAGACATTGTATATCTTCAAACTTGGAAAATCGTATTTGAAATAGACGATTTAGTAAACACTATTTATTTATTTATTTATTTTTATTTATTTATTTACTTTTATGACATTATCTATCTATCTATCTATCTATCTATCTATCTATCTATCTCAGTCTTATATTTATCAACGTCAATTAATATCTATCTATCTATCTATCTATCTATCTATCTACTGTTTTATCAATAATTTCATCGAAAGCAAAGTTACAAAGCTGCAAAGGGTTATTGAGCGTGAAAGAATATGTGAAAAACTTTAGAGAGACAATAAAAGGAGACAGAAAATGGCGATTGGCGGCGCATTTTAAAATTGATGGAAAGTTGACCGGAAAAAGCAAGAGGCCGGAAGAGTGTTTCACAAGCGAGAAATATTTGACAGTCTGCGAACGTCTTTGTGTTTGGTGATTTTAATGCTCATCGAGACAAAAGGATCAATCACATTAATAATCTCTCTCTCTCTCTCTCTATCTATTTTGATATTTTCATTTTCTATCTATCTATCTATCTATCTATCTATCTATCTATCTATCTATCTATCTATCTATCTATCTTGTCTCTCTCTCTCTCTCTCTATCTCTCTATCTATCTATTTTGATATTTTCATTTTCTATCTATCTATCTATCTATCTATCTATCTATCTATCTATCTATCTATCTATCTATCTTGGCCTGGTCTCTCTCTCTCTCTCTCTCTGGCTTACGGCCATATCCCGTAGAAACATCGGTTCCCGTACGATCTCCTAAATTCAGATATGTGTAAATACCCTTCCCCCCTCAGCTGTGGATTAATCGGTAAGTGTGTATTATCAATTCATTATTATCACCCCAAAATTCTTACAGTCTAAAAATATTTTCTGGCTTTAGATAATCTGCAAAGGGTAGATAACGAATCAGTCAATAAATTAAATCTCACCACGTACACACACACACACACATGCACAAACACCCACCCACCCTCTCTCTCTCTCTCTCTATATATATATATATATATATATATGAATATTATGCATGTTTCATTAAAAACGACATACAATGTACTACGGTTAGGCTTTTAATCTAATTTTTCTTGTGTTCGAACAAGATCATTCTTTTCTGGACAAAGGGTGTGTAAGAACTGTCCAAATGTTTTATATTTCCGATCGCTTTTGGCTATAACTTTAGGCATTAACAAGGATGATTTGATTTTTCAGTTTAATTGAGTATGTGCGTTATGTGTATGTCTTAGTGTGTGGTAGAGATGTTTTTAATTTCCGAATACGGTTAGCACATTGTGGCTTTGTTCATAGTTAATATTGTTAAGAGTTGGCTTTTTCTTTTTTATTATTAAAGCTTCCATTATTTTTAGTCTTTTTTTTTTGCAGGTGGACGCCTTGCAATAAATTTATTTGCTTCTAGAAATACCCTGAATGACCGCTTATGCTAACTCGATGATATACTTTGCTAATGGATAATCTGATTTACCCCAATAAAATTGAGAACATTTTCCACAGATTTCCATATTCAGTAGCTTTCTTCTTTCAATATTTGTGTTTTCTACTAGTATGTTCCTAATGGAGTCTGGTAAATTTGTATGTGTGTTTAAATGGGTTCTAATGAAGCTGTGATCAGATAGGTGTAACGTAAGACGTCTGGATAAGCATGTGGTTGTGTAACCGATGTAATTATTTATGAGTCCGGTTTGATCAGGAACACAGTTCCTTAAGGGGCAATATACAACTATATATGAATATACATACATACATATATATATATATATATATATATATATATATATATATATATATATATATATATATATATATATATGCGAAATATATCTGTCTACGCCAGAAATCTATCTATCTATCTATCTATCTATCTATCTATCTATCTATCTCAGACAAAAGACACCTTGCAATAAATTTATTTGCTTCTAGAAATACCCTGAATGATCGCTTATGCTAACTCGATGATATACTTTGCTAATGGATAATCTGCTTTCCTCCAATAAAATTGAGAACATTTTCCACAGATTTCATGCAAAAAAAAGGCTCTTCAAGAGCAATATGGCGGTATACGTCGTCTTATAAGTGATGACGAACAATATATTATAAAACTTTTAATAAATCTTATAAGCTGGAAGCGTTCTACTAGATTTTTTTAACATGATGTCTCATCTCAGAGCTGTAGTGTCGTGTTATATCGGGACCTGGCTGTATATCCATTTAACGATTTCAATTATTTCTTCCTTTCTCTTTCTCTGCCGTTGCAAACTAATAAATTAATCCTGATGGGTCTCCGAGTGGAAAAACACCAAATTTTATCCGTCTGATCGACAAGAATGGCAACCAAGTGATCATAAGACAAAATCAGACGCCCCGCCCAACCGCAAAGGCTGTGCGCTGAATTCATGAGGGTGGAAAGCACCACAATCCGTCATCTCGAACCGTAAAACATTGAAACGATTGGACTGGAAAGGCGAATTCAATTGTACAGGCTCGGCCGTTGTCCAATTGTTTCTGATGACGTTCTGGCCAGTCCGCGTTCGCTTTAGCCAAGATGACCACAGCTGATGACAGCTAGATCCGGAAAAGACGAAAGTAATCAATTTAGGGATTTGGCCGCTGCTTCCCAAGAGGTACTGGCCTCCATTGCTTCGCTGGAAGACAAAGATGAACTTTGTGAATACTGACATCTTGTTAAGATATATACGGAAAGCTAGCTCTCAACGGATGAATAAAAGTTCTACGCATGCTTGCCGATATGTATCAATAATGATACGTTTGGAAATTTATGGAAAAATACCCAGTATCATATTTGACACAATGTTAGTGAAATCTTAGAAGTGTCTTTGAAGTTTTCTTTGGACAATCGGTGAACTTTTAGTTTTCTTCTTGTATGTGTCCGTGTCTCTTCAAGATGTGTGCGATCATGGCTCTCTATAATTTTCTACCATTTGTAGGTAAGTTTATTTTTTTTTACTATTCCTCCCGTTCCCTATTTTGTCAGCCATTTACATAAATTTGTTGGATCGGTTATAGACACGTAATTTATGAGCTTAAGGGAAAAACAAAATGAAAGCTTGGAAAATGGGTTACACAGAATCTTAGAGAGTTTGAGGCTTATCGTCACATCACGTTGAAACACCGGTTCCCGTACGTTCACCGAAGTTAAGCAACGTCGAACATGGTCGGTACCTAAATGGGTGACCAGTTGGGAATACAAGGTGCTTTAAGCTTTGGTGGTGTAATGGATAATAGCTCGAAATTGTTATTCAGGGAGCTGAGTTCCAGTTCAAATTGGGTTCGTTATATACACTGATTCGCATATACCTTCTGCCTCCAGATGTGGATTAATTAGTAAGACTTATGTCCTATTTTGGCGGTGGGGGACGGATAAGATAGTAACTGTCTATGGCTTTATGTTGAGAAAAGTTATGAAGAAAATATTACAGCAATTTTTCGGTCAGTCTCTTTCTTTCGCGTTATTCTTCGATAAAAAACACGATAAGATAATGATTCTATGTGTGCGTGGCGTAGTGGTTATCGGCGCAGAAAGTGGATTCGGTGTGTCCAGTTCAAATTTTAATCGGCTTCGTCGCGTTCACCTTCGCACAAATACCCTTGGGAAAAGCACGTATCCACCTCTTCTCATCCCTGCTATGATTTAAATAGCAGAGCAACCCGGGCTCTCTAGCCTTGGATGGAAACCAGTCTAAGAGAAGAACAAGCTCCGAATGCAAAACTGGCTAGTCGTGGAGCTGGCAATTCCGCCTCGTATAGATCTACGTGCTACGGAAACCACGTCAGGGTTGTGACACTGTAACGTTCCACAGGGGCGTCTAACAGCGCTTAGGGTGAGGAAGAGTAGGGTAATGACTTTTCTCAAAGTTATCAAGAAAAAAAAAATTGTCAAGATCCAGAACGGAACATCCTAGTCTAAACAGAATCTAGTAGGGGATTCCCCCACCCCTCACACACTTTTGATGGAATTCATGAGGAACCTTATATTATGAATTGTTGGAATCAGGGAGCAAATTTGAATAGGAGAAAATACTATTTAAGGACTTCTACTTTGAGGAACAAACTCCTGAGAAGGTGCTTCCCCGATTACTACAATCGTAACCTCTTTAAATCTCATATCTTTTCTATATACTCTCCTAAAATGCACGTTTTCCTACTCTTACGTCCATACAGCAACCTCATTCAGTAGCTTTCTACTTTGAATGGTTCTTGGGGCTTCTATTGGGTGAAAAAAAGGAAGAAAAATCATGATATTACTGCATTTCAATACTCGTCTAAAATACCAGGCAACAGTCATGAAGTTAGTATGGGAAATTCTTCAAGATAATTGGTTCTCAAGTGGGGTTCATATGGACCCTGAGAGGTTTCCATGTAGCATTACTGAGGGTGCACACAAAAATAGCAAATTGGGGGTCTACAGTAATATCTGAGTGGTTCATAGAACAATTTCACTCCGGAAAGGTTATTACAACTGAGAATTGGAATTTCTACAGTAATCTACACCATATTAAAATATTAAAAATGTAATGAGTTGGTCGGTCAACTTGTCACCCCCAAAGCGAGTGGAGGTGTGCAGGCGCGGGAACTGTGATTGGTAGCTGGCTTGTTGGTGTTTTGCATAGGTGAGTTACCAAGCTCTATATAAAGGCTGGAATGAGAAGGAGGTTTTTTTTTTCAGTCTCAGAAGTGGAGACTGTGTCCGTCGCTACGACAGCAGGAGAGAAAAGACGAAATCATTTATTTTTTCGTGACACATTCCAACACAAAAAATAGAAAAAAAAAATCTCTAAAACTAGCAGAAAATGAGATCAAGCGATGTAAGTTTGCGTCTCTTTTACTCTACTGGATGCTTTCATTGTAAAAATTGAATAAAAACTGAGAAGGAGATATACAGGAAGGATTATATAAAGATTATAATTTATTACATAAATTAATTTATTATAATAAATAATAATAGTAATTTTAAATATTAATAAAATAAAATATTAATATATTAGTACAAATTAATATATTAATAGACTCGACATTAGTGTGATATTCGACTATCATTGACATCGATGAAGCCAAATATAAAAATTCACAGAGCAGCATCAACCACAAGGATCTCATTGAATAAACTGCCACTTTTGGTAATTTATTGATAACTCACATATTTTAAAAGAATTTATTATGAGTTATATGTACTAGTGCACATAAATGTTCCATAACATTTTATTTTAATTAAATTAGTTTTACGTCAAATGAAGCATCTGCATTTACTATTTCCATAATACAATTCTTAAACCTATCTATTAATAAAAAGTGAAATAAGTTTTTTTTCATCGAATGAAAAAAAAACCCCAAAATAAGGGTAAAAGTAGTCCATGGGTAAAAAAAAAAAGAATATTGTTGTCACATCTGGTCTGGTGCTTCTGCTGTAGATCTAAAGTGTCTTTACAAAATCCAGTAAAAAATCTGCAATATTATCGGTTCTGACCTGGCATATCGGCTTCAATCACTTATCAACCATCGTAACTTATCTTCCCTGAGCCTTTTCTATAAACATTTTCATGGCTATTGTTCTGATAAGCTTACCTCTTTTGTAACTCGACTTTACGAATTTAAGCGCAGTACAAGATTGGCAGCTAGTTCTCATTTTACAAGGCCGTGTAGATGCTTTTGACCCCGTGGCAGGTAAGTGTAGACTGAGAAGTTCCAGCCCAGAAATGGCAACATACTTCATTTTTGGTCTGATCTGGCTCTAGAATATACCAGGGGCGGGGGAGTCAAATACTTACTGGAGCGGTACAAGAAACCGAGTATTTTTTACTGTATCTTTAAAAATAGATCGAATATATGAGCTCCACTTGAAGTAAGCTTGTGTCCCAATATACGTTCAAGCCGAGAAGCCTCCTTAAGAGAACACTCATCTGTCATGAGCGGTGAAAGTTCGGGGTCTGCTCGGTGGTGCGTGAATGTTACCAGTTTGATTTGCGGCATATTGTATTTTACAAGATAGTCATTCTTCCATTGAGGCACTAGGGCTAGATCAGAGGGTAGATTAGCTACCAGGTTCTGGCCATCCAGATTCTTGGAGGTGCACCTATAAAATGTTGTATCATCCGCATAAATATTCTCTAAAGATTGGATTATGTTGTTAATATAGAGCACAAAGACGATAGGAATGAGAAGAGAACGTGAGGAAGGCCAAGGCTGATCTTAACGAGATTCATGAACCTACCTGTTACGAAGGACTTGATAACCAAGGAAGCACTTCCAGAGATTCCATAGCTGGGGTTCTTATGTAGCAAACCCTGATTCTACACCTTATCAAAGGCTTTTTATCCACTGATATTTAGATAACAGGTGTCCTAACGAGATATATTTCTTGGTTCCACCTTTGCAGCTGCGATTCCCCATGTACACGAGGATGAATCATCCTTATTCCTTTCGTATTCAATTAATAAGAAGTAAGTTCAACTTGTGCAGCTTCTTACAAAGAACTACTGCTTTGGTAGACAGCCACCCTAATGTTTTCCCAATCACTACAATCTTAACCACTAAGTATAGTGTTAACCGTTATCTTTATTGTATGACCTCATAAACTGCATTTCTTGTCTTCTCTTACGCTCATCCAATACTACACAAGAAACCCTCTACCTTGAGTGGCTCTTAAACCTTGTCTTGGGTGGGAGATTAGTATAAAAAAATTCTATTATAATGATTTCTTCTCTCGCAATCCCAGCTTGTGGAATTCTCTTCTATCGTCTCGCTTTCTTGTCAAATACGATCTTCAAAAATATCAAATGCTATCTCTTCAATAACTTTTTCTCTTTCACTCTCTGTAGCATCTTAGTGGCTATATCGCCTTGATTGGGGTGTAATGTTAAAAGAAAAGAAAAGTATGAAATTATCAGCTAAACACTTGTTTCGTTCCCGGCAGACACTCTTTGTCTTGTCAGCTATTCCAAGTTTGAATTCGCTGAATCAAAATAGGAATTGTTCTTTTATGGCTGAATACAAACTTTGCCTGAAAGATTTTAGAAGTTCAAGGAAATACATCAATAACCAATAATGAAATATTGATACAGTGAATTTACATGGCCGCCTCAAAAAAAAAAAAAAGAATAAAAATAAAATAAAAAAATACTGTCAAAATAAAAATCCTATAATTTTTTTGTTTTATCTCGTGCAGGTGACGTAACTGTTATTGGTGTAAAAATAGAATCTGCAGCTCGAGTTCAAATTCAGAATTGCAGATGTTGCAATCACTTTGCACTCATGCCATTGGGAAAGACAGAAATCCATTTATCTACCTCATTATCTCTGTGTAAGGGAAAAATGAACACTTTTAGCCATGGTAGAGTTACTAGTATACAAAAAGAACAAATTTTGAATGCAACTCATCAGGGGTCAGTGTGCAATAGTAAGACTCTTTACTCCACATGTCTATTTCAGGAATGTTCCAGTCTTGCACTAGAATAAAAATGGTTGAAATGAAATAAATAAAATGAAAATATATCCTTATACGTTAACGTTAATGTATGTGCTGTGCTCAGGGAAAGTGTATATTATCAAGGGAGATGACTTAAAATATTTGTCTCTATACGTAGACAAGAAAACCTACAAGCTATGTCGTATCTTGGTTTACAAGATTAAAAACTTATCGACCGCGCATTACAAGATATTCTGGACTTTGGAATAAAATGTAAAAATAAAAATACCCGTTTCTTTATCCCTTTATGGAATTAAGTATTTTCAGAAAATTTGGTGATTTTCAACCGCGTACGTACAGGATTTAATGGAATCATATCAGACTTTTTTTCATTTGCTTATAAATGTCTTTGAATTTTCTTTTTCATTTACCAAATTTAGTATGAAACCTGTACGAATATTCGACCATATTTTCGGTAACCCCAAACGTCATGAAACCCAATAGAAATTTAATTTTAAGGTTTTCTATTCTCATAGATTTTATAAAATTATAAATATTTATATCTAATGCAGCTTTATGACTGACATCATAAAGCCAATAGTTTGGGCCTCCTAGGAAGAATCAAACATATGACTAATGGTAATATTAGCCGAATTCCTATGAGGAAATATTCGGTATTTACTGACCGAGCAGCCAGTATCATTTTCGGTTGAAATTTATAAAATCTTTCTCTTAAAACAATTTTTCAGAAAAAAAAAAAAGTTTTTTTTAAGTCCAGTAGATATGGAAGACACTGATACTATACGACCGGACAGTGAAAGCTGAAAAAAAAACAGCTTAAATCGTTAATTTTTTGTATTTGGTTTGATGTTTCCGGTTTGGGCTGTTGCTCTTGCTGAAAAAGGTGACTGCTTGTTGAAATCTTGGAAGTGCGAGTGGTGTAATGAATAATGTCTCGGAATTGGAAATCGAAGGGCAGAGTTCCAATTGAGTTGGGTTCGTTATATTCACGACTAGCAGCATGGCCTGGCGTTGCCCGTGCTTGATTAAAAAAATCGTACGACTCATACAGCAATCGCTATCACTTGACTTAAAATATTTTTGCCCTTCCTTGCCTTTAAAGGAGTGCCCTTTGCCGTGCTGATGTTTCTACATGCCTTAATTCTTGCCTATCTCACACTGCGAATTTTTTCTAAGCTCTATACTAAACATTAAATCTATTACGAAAAAAGAACTAAACAAAATGAACACAAAACGATCAGATTTAAAAAAGGACTCGAAACTGGAAAAACCGAATGAAAAAAGAATGTTAACAACAAATACTTTTTCACACCCAACCCAGTTCTACGGAATCAGAATCAACGTTGAGTTTAAGCAAGCGAATGAGCCAATTGGAGTAAAGTGCCATGCAGATTTAAATTTTTGCCACTTGTGACGAATGCAGCTATCGATTTTTTTCATGCTAGCAAGTTAACATTCGTGTTAGTCAGCTGTTGGTTCTCACGCTGGCCAAAAGAATCTTCCTACCTATTCTTGGCAGCCAGCTATAGGCTCTCACTCTGGCCAGTAGAAAATGGCCGCAAACTACATGAAAACTGCCGTAGAAGCATGAAAAAATCGATTATTTCCACTATCGATGGGAGTTGGGAAATGTAACGTCGGTCTTGGCCTTCCCGCTAACTTGGAGCATGTGCATGTAAATTTTGGTGCAAATCCGTCAAAAATTGCGGCCGTGCATTCGTTACACACACACACACACATCCTGCCTTTTATAGATAGAGATCACGATGATCCATTAGCTGCAGTAGAATTAGTGTTTCTTGGCAAAGCATCATTAGGCCGGTTTTAATTCAGAGTTTTTCTTCTTCTAGACTGGTTGCCATCCAAGGCTATAGAAACCCGTCTGTCCATGAAGAGGATTCATACCTTTTCCAAGGGTATTAGCACGTAAGTGAATGTAATAGATCTGACTGGAATTCGAACTCGGCTCTCCGATTTCCCGATCTGAGCCGCTATCCATTACTCCACTTCACTCTCGGAAAAGAGGTGGATTCATACATTTCGCAACGTATTTGGAAAAGGTATGAATCCACCTCTTTACCTCCTCCAGCTATGGGTTAATTAGAAAGATTTGTATCACTGAATCAATATTATCTCCCCACCTCTAATCTTACACTCTAAAATTATTTTCTGGCTTTAAATAACTTGCAAGGTGTTAAAAAGCCGTAGAAAAACGAATCAATCAATAAAAAAAAATAATACTGACAACTATACATTCTGTCGTCTTGATAGTTAGTCCTTTCTTCCTGCTTTCCTTTACTATCTTCTCTAGGTGTTATCATCAACACAGTGCCATCTGCGTATCTTATGTTGTAGTTGTATCATAGTGTACGAGCGTATGTGAGTGTATGCTCGTGTGTGTGTTTTTGTGTGGTGTTGTCCTTATTGTTTCAGAAAATAGACATGGTGAAATGTCAAAAGAATTCCGTCTGGAGTAGTGCATGTTATTCACAGCGTATGAATAAAGCTTTTGACTAATATATATATATCGTTTATATATTGTTTTTGCGGGCTCATGTAAGGAGGGTTAGTCGCTGTCACTAGTATTATGAGGACCATTCCAAGCCTAGCCCCGGAAGAAGAGTCATAGCGGGATCGCCATTTTGGAAACAATGATGAGATCATAAGTGCTGTGGAGGAATTTTTGAAAAACCAGGACGCAACGTTTATCTATGATGGGATTGCAATGCTTAAGCATCGCTTGACTTAATGCAATGGTGTTAAGGGGGACTATTTTGAAAAATAGTGAAAAACTGTCTTGTTTTTCTAACACCTTTTGGGTTGGGTTTAGAACTTTTTGAATGACTCTCCTATGTAGTCCAGTCCAACTAATCGCATGTAACGTTGGTACTAAAATTGACCACTATGAACAAATTAAGACGGACAGATACACGGTGCTGACAAGTGTAGATATATAACTATGTTATTACTAATTATATAAAAATAGTATATTACTATGAACATGATACTAATGAATATCCAAATTAGCAAGGAGTCTTTAATCTATCTATCTATCTATCTATCTATCTATCTATCTATCTATCTATCTATCTATCTATTTATCTGGGTTTCTGCAAATGTATGTATGTATGTATGTATCTATCTATCTGGGTTTCTGCAAATATATGTATGTATGTATGTAAATGTATGTATGTATGTATGTATCTATCTATCTGGGTTTCTGCAAATGTATGTATGTATGTATCTATCTGGGTTTCTGCAAATGTATGTCTGTATGTATGTATCTGGGTTTCTGCAAATATATTTATGTATGTATGCATCTATCTATCTATCTATCTATCTATCTATCTATCTATCTATCTATCTATCTATCTATCTCTGTTCATTATTGATATATCTATGTTTCTTCATTATCTATCTATCTATCTATCTATATATCTATCTATCTGGGTTTCTGCAAATGTATGTATGTATGTATGTATCTATCTATCTATCTATCTATCTATCTATCTATCTATGTATGTATGTATGTATCTATCTGGGTTTCTGCAAATGTATGTATGTATGTATGTATCTATCTATCTATCTATCTATCTGGGTTTCTGCAAATGTATGTATGTATGTATGTATGTATTTATGTATTTATCTATCTATCTATATATCTATCTATCTGGGTTTCTGCAAATGTATGTCTGTATGTATGTATCTGGGTTTCTGCAAATATATGTATGTATGTATCTATCTATCTATCTATCTATGGGTTATAAAGGAAACCCCTATCGATACTGGAAAGAGCGATAACAGATATTGTTTTCAGATAAGAATTTATAAAAGAAAAATTATATAAAACCGAACGCAGTAATAACTGATCAAAGAATACCAAACGGCAAATATTACCATTATCTATCTATCTATCTATCTATCTATCTATCTATCTATCTATCTATGTTCTTCCATTATCTATCTATCTATCTATCTATCTATCTATCTATCTATCTATCTATCTAAGTCTGATATCTCTTTTGCCTCCGCACACACACACACACACACACATATATATGTGTGTGTGTGTGTGTGAGTGTGAAATATATCAGTCTACGCACACACATTAAGAGACATAAAAGCTGAGATGTCAGCGAAATGGGCATTGCGCCTTTTATTAACATCATTGTTGCTATTAATATGAAAAAAATATTGCACAAAACGTATTTTTGGAAAAGACTAGAGAAAAAGGCGAACAAAGCGATGGAAGTAAAAGATAAAAATAAATGGAATAAAAGTCGGAATATGAAAGGGTTATATGTTTGGACACGACTTCAGATTCAGAAGAAAAATGGTCATATTTTTACCTATTCAATTCTGTGCACAATACAAATAGACAAAGGAAGATACAGATGGGGGATAATAAAGGTTCTTTAGTTCGTAATAAGTTCATAAGGAAGACAATATTGCATAAAATGATAGAAACAAAGATTGATAGAAATAGACTATTATCTGGATGAAATGGACATAGATCTGGACAGAATCAATTATCTATCTATCTATCTATCTATCTATCTATCTATCTATCTATCTATCTCTTTTTATTCATTATCTATCTATCTATCTATCTATCTATCTATTTTGTTTATTGTCTATCTATCTATCTATATTTATATATATTTATTTTTCTATTTATTTTTTATCTAATTTTTCATATCTATCTATCTATCCTATCTTCTATCTTATCTTCTATCTCCTTTTGTTTATTGTCTATCTATCTATCTATCTATCTATCTATCTATCTATCTATCTATCTATCTATCTTCCTTTTGTTTATTATCTATCTATCTATCTATCTATATTTTTTCATTTATTTTTTATCTTTTTTATCATTTTTCTTTTTAATACATATCTATCTATCTATCTATCTATCTATCTATCTATCTATCTATCTATATAAAACACAGACATACGTACACACACATATATATATCTTATTTTATTTATTTATTCCATCACATTCTATCTATCTATCTATCTATCTATCTATCTATCTATCTATCTATCTATGTAGCTATTTTTGTTGATTATCTATTTTTTCATTTATACAAATATATATATATATATATATATATTTGTATTCGATCGCTCATTCGTACATTTACCTATATCTATTCATTTGGTTTATATATATATATATATATATATATATATATATATATAGAAAGATATAAAGAAATTGTGAAAGAACAGTTATGAACAAAATGAAATAGAAATAGAACAAATCAAGAAAGATGAAAACGAGCAAAGTGAAATAAACACTTTGATTTGTATTTGCCTTTCAACCTTTTGAAGGATATTTTAAAACAGGAAATATTTTTAGATAGTAGGAATTTTGGGGAAACAATAATGACTTACTGATAAAAGACCTACTAATTAACCCATAGCTGGAGGGAGAATCGATATATCAGTATTTGCGTATTTTACGCGTAAGTAAATATGAAGGTGCCAATTGAAAATGGCACTCGAAGAGCCGAGATCCAAATCCGAGGGGCTCTCCATTACACGAACGACATAGCCAAGCTTCCAGCACCTGGTATTCTCAAGCGGTCACCCATCTAGTTACTGACAAGGCTCGACGTTGCTTGACTTCGGTGATCGTACAAGAACCAATGTTTCACTGTGACACGACGCGATTAATGGATGTACAGATTAAGATAAATATAAACCAACTATATATATATATATATGTGTGTGTGCTGTGTGTGTGTGTGTGTGTTGTGTGTGTGAGTGTGTGAGAGAGAGAGTGTGTATTTGTGTACACATAATCAATAAAACACATCCCAAAATCAAATAAATTGCAAAAAATATTGAACAGAAACACGCTAAAACTTATAGGATTACCGAATAAACTACAAATCATCTTAAATACAACATGCAAATCAACAGTTACCCCAAAACATCCACTGAACCGACTGGGATTTTTTAAAGGCAATTTTAAGCATGGATTTATATCAGATTCTAATGGCCCTATTTCTGATATTGTGCACTGTTTATTCTTAAAACAATTTATATTATTATTATTATTATTATTATTATTATTATTATTTTATTTCCTTTGATTTCTGGTGTGTACACCATTTCTTTCCGGGTCCCGCCCAGAGACCTAAGTCAGAAATGGCATCATGACATTTTCGACTGAGCAATTAAAAAAACAAAAAATAACACCCATATTTTACATCGATAAAGCCCTTCTTAATGTGTGGGCTGTACTCGTGAGAACAATGTTTTTTATTTCTTTAAGGCATGGGCTTCCATGAATCCCTTCAATGAGTCTATTGGAATCTTTTTCAATCAATCCTAGGGCTCCAACTACAACGGGTATTGTTGATGTTCTCATGTGCCACATTTTTGAGATTTCGATTTCAAGGTCATTGTATTTTGATAGCTTTTTGATATATTCAGAGATACATTGCAGTCTGCAGGGATTGCCATATCAATAAGGAGGCATTTTTTTTGTTTGCGGTCTCTAATAACGATGTCTGGGTGATTAGCTTTCATTGTTCTGGATGTGTGTATTCTGTAGTCACATAAAATTGTTACAGGTCCTATCTCCGTAAGCATTTCATACAAGTTTCTTTCAGTATCTTTTCCGTAGATTTTCCAGTGTAGATATTGGCTCAATCTGTCATTCAGGGTTTTATATTCAGTGGGTGCCAATACCATGCAACCTGATACAAGATGATCAATTGTTTCTGGATATTTATCACAGAATCTGCATTTTGGGCTAACACCATTTTTTAGTATGTGTGCTTGATAATTCCTAGTTCAAAAGCATTGGTCCTGTGCATCAAGGATAAAACATTCCGTTTCAGCTTTTAACCCTGCACTACGTAGCCACTGATGGGTACGGGGTCTTGTCTACATCAGCTTGTTTGGTACGGGTAGAGTATTGACCGTGAAGCGGTTTATCTTTTCTGTAATGGTCGGTTGCATTTGCTTTTGCTTTCTTTTTTAAGTATTTTGCAGCTTCAGTCGGATTATTTTGCTTTCCTTGTATTCCTGCATTATTATTATTATTATTATTATTATTTAAATTTCAAATATTATAGATCGATGTCAAGGGTACAACTGGAAGATTAAAATGAAAGTAGTTAAGTCCCCTAGAATTACTTGAATAATTTATATAAAAAAAAAGCAGCGATAACAGAATACTTGAAAGAACAGAGTTTATTAACAGATGTAAGCATAATATAAAATACCTACTGTGTTAACTGCCAACTGATTAGCTTATTGATTTATTTTTTATTTATCCCGGCTCTTTAACACACACACACACACACACACACACACACACACACACACATATATATATATATATATATATAATATATATATAAATATAAATAAATATATATATGGAGAAACGCTCAATATCAGAGATAGAGCTAACATATTTGGTTGGATAGATGTGAGTTTGTGACAATAACACCAATACATGCAATCTACATAAACCCAATTTTTTAAAAAATTAATCAGTTTGTCTGACGATCGCTAAAGCGTGAAACCCAGGGTCACAAACTCACATCTATCCAACCAAATATATAATATATATATAAATATATATCTTTCGGGTTACGACTGGGGCCATCCATCACAGGAATTAACATTATCAAGCGTTTTTGCTCTGTCTAGGTAAGTCAGGCGTTGATCAATTTTGTTTACTGAGTTGGTAAGTGTTTGCATTTAGGTCTTTTTTCTTATTGCTGTCCTTGTTCGAGATTTTACCTGCTTTAAGTGTATTTAGGTCATTTGGTAAGTTGTCCATTGGTCCCGGAAACAATTGTTTTCTTTAACATATCTATCTATCTATCTATCTATCTATCTATCTATCTATCTATATATATATATATATATATATATATATATAAATGTAAAAGAACGAAGAGCAAAATTTCAGTGTTCAAAACATTAATTTAACACAGGGCTCACGACAAAAGTAGAGTAATAAATATTTATTTTTTATGCACTGTTACATTAGAACATGTGCATACTCATCCGTGGATATGAACATGTTCTAATGTAACAGTGCATAATAATATATATATATATATATATATATATATATATATATATATATATATAAAGTTGCTAAGATCTTCCACTTGAATGAATCTTATATTTAATATATTTTAGGTTCAAAGTTCGGAATTTTTGAAGTTTGGAATTTTCGGGCATGCCTGAGTCCTTCATCAGCGCATTGGTGAGTCTCCCCGTCTCTCTGTTTATTTCTCGCAACTGCTGATGAAGGACACGGGCGTGCCCGAAAATTCCAAAATTTCTGTCATGTGTTTAATAATTAATAAATGTTTTTCGTCCTGATCGCATCGGTACCATTTCGTTTACCATTGTTTTATTAGCCATTTCGTTTACCAATTTTTATAAATATATATATATATATATATATATATATATGTGTGTGTGTGTGTGTGTGTGTGTGTGTGTGTGTTTGTATTTAGGCAGCAATCCTTCATTTATACAGGTTTCATTAAAGACGACAGACTTTTGAATTGGGTGTATGGGTTGTGTGTATGTTTCTAGAGTTATAGGGATGTTTTATTTTCCCAACACAATTAGCAGATTGTGGCCGTGTTCGTAGTTAATATTATTGAGAGTTGGCTTTTTCTTTTTTATGATTAAGGCTTCCATTAGTTTTCATCTTTTTTACATGTGGATGAGGCTATCAGACTTTTTATTTGCTACTAGTATGTTTCGTATGGAGTTTGGTAAGTTTGTGTGTTTAAATGGGTTGTAATGGAACTGTGGTCGGATAGGTGTAACGTAAGGCGTCTGGATAGGCATGTAGTTGTGTGACCGATGTAATTATTTATGGATTTGGTTTGATCAAGGACAAAGTTCCTTAAGGGGCATTTGAAATCATAAATAATGCTCGTTCTTTGTAACTTTGATTTTGCTGGTGTGTTGTTTTTTTTTTGAGGATAAGGTTAGTTGTTTTAAATTTTTTGTAGTAGATAATTTGAATTTTTTGTTCAGATCAATTGGGGTAGTGCATTTATTTATGATGTTTCTAAGTGAAGATTCATCTTGTTTGTAGTTGATGTTCACTTGGTTTTTGTAGAAAATATTTATGTTATTTTTGACAGTGTGTTCACTATCACTGTTATTTACTTTGGAAAGAAATAATCTAATTTGGTGGTCTATAAGGTGGTTAGAGAAACCATTGTTGACTAGTGTCTGTTTTGATTTATTGAGTTCTTTAATGAAGAGTAGTCGAGAGGATGAATTCTGGTATTCTCTTTTTAGGAAGTGTATCTGAGTGAGCATTCACTTTTAAAGTTAAAGTGGCAAGAGTTTCTGCTAGTGGGTTTTCTATACAATGAGGTGGTAAAAGTGTTATTACTATATTCTACAAGGGCGTTTAAGAATGGTAGTTTATTTTTTTGACTAAGTTCGTTGGTAAAGTTAAGGACAGAGTTTATATGACTCTAGAAACACACACACAACCCATACACCCAATTAAAAAGCAAAAATGAAATCGTCCTTGATAATGGCTAAAAGTATAGCCGAAAGCGCTCGGAATTACAGAAAATTTGGACAGTTTCTAGACACTTTGTGTCCAGAAAAAAAAAACAAAAAAAAGAAAACACTTGTTTGAGCATAAAAAATAATAAAAATAAAAAGATTAATTGCAGAATCTTGTCTGTTTTCGTTAATGAAACGGACGCACACAGACACACACATATTTATAGTGAGAAAATATCTAGAGAGAAAGAATGAAAGACAGAAAAACAAAGAGATAGAGAGTGAGCCTGTAAGGAAGAGAGAGAGAGAGAGAGAGAGAGAGAGAGAGAGAGAAAGAGAAAGAGATTGTGAAAGGCAGAAAGAGATAGAGAAAAAGAAAATTCCCGAGAAAGAAAGTGTGTGTGTGTGTGTGTGTGTGTGTGTGAGAGAGAGAGAGAGAGAGAGAGAGAGAGAAAAGAGAGAGATAGAGAAAAGGAGAGAAAAGTGTGTGTGTGTGTGTGTGTGTTGAGAGAGAAAGAGAGAGAGATAGAGCAGAAAAAAGAGAAAAGGAAATTCCTGAGAAAGAAAGTGTGTGTGTGTGTGAGAGAGAGAGAGAGAGAGAGAAAGAGAGAGAGAAAGAGAAAGAGATGTGTGAAAAGAGAGAGAAGAGATGTGAAAAGCAGAGAAAAAGAAAATTCCCTGAGAAAGAAAGTGTGTGTAAGAGAGAGGGAGGAGAGAGAGAGAGAGAGAGAGAGAGAGAGAGAAAGAAAAGCAGAAAGAGATAGAGAAAAGAAATTCCTGAGAAAGAAAAGGCAGAGAGAGAGATAGAGAAAAAGAAAAATTCCAGAAAGAGATAGAGAAAAGAAAGAAAAAGTGTGTGTGTGTGAGAGAGAGAGATAGAGAGAGAAAAAGAGAAAAAGAAAGAGAGAGAAAGGTGAGAAAACAAAGTTATAGATAGAAACAAAAGAGAGAAAAAGAAAAAGCAAATAGGATAGAAAGAAATAACAAAATATAAAGAGAAGTAATAAAGGAAAAAAATGAAAAAGAAAAAGCAACCTTTTTCCTCAGTAAAGCCCATTTATTCTCGATAGAACCGGAAGAGACAGCAAATAGCAACTTTAATTCTTTGATTCTATCCAATTTTTGGCTTTCGACTGCCTGCTACCGACACTCACCAAGAATTACCATGCAAGACTTTCAGACTCAACCACTCACCCGCTCATTCAAAGGAGCCTCATTCAGTGTTTTTTTTTCCCCTTCATCCCTATTCACACAACCAGCGGAGCGAACGTCATTTTGCTGGTCACTCTTATATATTTGCTAGTATTTGAGCAGGTTTATTTGTTCACTTTACGCCCTGGAGAGTCGGTGTGTGCCCAGAGACCGCGGCATTGTCAATAAAACGAAGACATGTCCAATCACCGCCCATTTCGCTAGTAGACTCCTCCAAAACGGTATGGAAGTGACATTTTGCAAATTGCTCCATCGAATGTCAACATGAATCTTTTTACTGGTTTACTATTCGCGGACAAGGCTCTGCGGGCAATGCAGGAGTTTTGTGTCAGATAGTCTAGCGTTCAAGTCCAGTACGTGTTAGTTATTTTTCAATATCTGGTCACAGTTCAGTAGTTGAAATATATGATTGCAGATCTGGTATTTTTATAAATAGGTTTGTACGTTTTTCTTAAATCTACTGACAATATGTAGGATCACAACTTTTCAATCGCCATCAGCTTTTAGTTTTTTTTTTTTCAAGCATTTGGTTTACACCCACTTTTAAAAAAGATGCCATATTTTATTAAGTCCTTATCATTATTAGAATATTTTTCACCTTTGAATTTTTAAAACAAATTGTCAGTGTAAGAAAAATAACCTTAGTTAGTGTGTCAGTGCGCCGCACTTTTTCAATTAAAGGGACACAACTCTCAATAGCTCAGCTCCTTCTATATAATAAATGCAAATGTCAGTATGTCACACTTTTTCAATTAAAGGGATACAGCTCTCAATAGCTCATCTACTTCTATATACTAAATGCCAATGTCAGTGTGTCAGTGTGTCACACTTTTTCTATTAAAGGGACACACATCTCAATAGCTCATCTCCTTCGTCGTTGAACTTTTAAAAGGTAAGCTTAAATATTAATGGAATACTTAAATGTAGCGATCAATTTTGAGTTCTGTAGTTTATTGTTGCCTATTGCATCTACTCCTCCCTACCTATTTTGATGAAGGCACAATCAAGAGAACTCCCCCGCGAGTACTAGATTAAATGCCGCCGGATAAGGTGACTTTTAAGCTAGTATATATATATATATATATATATATATATATATATCCTAAAGCTGCCGAAAAATGGCCGCTTCCCTATACCGCCCCAGTTGACTGTACCTGACTCTTTCGGCTATTCTCTACCTTTACAAGAGCCAAATCAGACCGAAAACAGAATACTACTGCCGTATATGGACAGGATCTGCCCAGTATGCACTTTCCAGTCTCGATAGAGTCTAAAAGCTTTTCCGTGTCCTTGTGGGTGACGAACTATTTTCCACTCGACAACTCCTTTGTCAGAGACGTAACATCGGAAGCCCCTAGCTAGTGTATATGCATTCCATGGGAAGTGTTCAGGTGAACTACATTCCTTAGTTCCGCCTGTTCTCGCCTTCACGGCTAAGCCTCGCCTTGTCACGCGCATTATAGGGAACCATCCTCATCCCTTTCGTATTCCCCTTGTGAGATGCAAGTTTTACGCGAGTAGCTTCTTCCCACGAGCCGCTATTCTCAAGAGGGTGCTTCCCCGATCAGTTCAATCTTAACCTGTTCAGGTCTAGCGTTAACCGTTATCTTCCTCACATATCAGCATAAACTGTGCCTTTTTGTAACCCTCTATCTAGAGTGGCTCTCGGGTCTTGAACAAGTTGAACATCATTATAAAAATATAGCAAAATGTTACAGCACAGTGAAACGTATTAAAATAACAAAAAAAAAAAAAATTACACTTTAGAAACGCCGGAAGTAATCCCATTTCAGTTGCTCAGTATTTGTTAGAGCAACTTCCGGCATTACCAAAGTATTTGTTTTTTTTAATGCGTGTCACTGGGCCTTACATTGTAATGAAGTCGGGGGAGGGTACTGATTAAATGAGAACACTAGATTTGAATCTTAATTACATGACATTTTTTTCACTCCAGTATTTCCCCACTTTCTCACAGTCAGTCTGTGGTAAGCAAGCGGCTCCATCCGATATGCAGACCTTACTTTCTCCACTGCGGAGTGTGACAGACTACCCTGAGCTGTTGTTTATATATACATCTGTTGAAAACGTATTATAGTGGATACTTCGTATTTGATATAGACGCCTCATTGAATCGACGCGTCTATTTCAAATACGAAGTATCCACGATAATAACGTTTGAAGTAATAACAATGACGGATTAAAAATAAATCCATTAATAGCCACCTGTCTAGCATTCTCGCTCTCATGTTTGTAATATCGGATGCAGGTGTGAGGTCATGTATTCTGCATTCGGTGGTCGGGACTGACCTCAGGTCAACCCTTTGATACATCCAGGTTGCTTGATGTTCGGTGTGAACTTGAGACCAAACTTATCCTGGCAGAGTACCATACCATTTTGGCTTAGACCCCTTCCCCACCGCCACCCCAAAGGCACTGATCTACCATCACAGAATAATTCAGTAAGATAAGACGATCGTGTATAATGTCATATCAATAGAAACTACAGAATTGTTCATCTTGGTTGCTATGCTCGCAACAATTCCGGTCTTTTTCCTGCTTGGTAATCATCTTGACATTTAGAGGCGAAACCGTTATTCAATTTACGCCGGGTAGATTATTTTCTTTCTGCTTATGGACATTACATATGAATTAATAATCAATTGTCTTTGTCAGCTTTGGATCGCTTGATCTTTTCCTCCACTAGATCATAGTAATTAACTTTTCAGCATTACCAAACCAAGGGATTGAACACACAACTAGAAGGAAATCAGACATGTTAAAAGCCACACTTTAATGCATGTGGGCAATCCAGTGTTGACGTTCTGGAGCCTTAAACCTAATATTCTATCCAGGCGGAGGGATTGTATGAGTGTCCTGGCTCAGATGGTGGAACTGTATGAGAAAATGGCGGAAGGGTACAAAGACCGACAATTTGAGAATATAATTACCAAGATGAGCATGTTAGTCAGGATAGAAAATTATATAGTAATTATAATTCTTTATCTCAATAATTCCGATAAGAACTAAATTACAAAAGTTGTGTACAAATCTACTTCTAGTAACTTTCACTTTCACTTTCACTAGTAACTTTCACTTTCACTTTCACTAGTTACCGTAACTTGGCCATGAGTTAGCCGAAGCTAAAATAATAATAAATAAGAATAAACACGATTCCACAATTTATTCCATTTTGATCCCTTCCGCTTTGCCCCGTGCAATTCCTGATTATCTTTAAATTGTCTAAATTCTGAGGTGAAACAGTTTTTATTTTGTTTTGGACTAATGCTGAAGCATTTGTTAAGGTCACGATCTCTAGAATGTTTATTTAAATGTACTTATTTATTGATTTCATTTATATATTTGCTTTGTATATTTTCGTAGTAATTTTCTTTGCTTCTAACTTTTATTACATTAGCCTAATCCTTAATCCCAAACAAAAGAATTGAGAAGGGCCGGTTTCATTCTCCCCCGATTTTCCGTTAATCCCCTCAATAACTTATACATAGATTTCGCTAATGGAATATCGAAACGTGGTCTGAAGACTGAGGAGTGAAACTGACAGTCACTATGCAGTGTCTACAATGTCTTATATCTAGAAACGTTCTATATTCGATGTAGAACGTTATTCCCTTATAGCTATAGCATATTTTAAACAGTTTAATTTATAGAATGACCATATATAAATATATATACCTATATACTAAATGCCAATGCGAGTGTGTCAGTGCGCCGCACTTTTTCAATTAAAGGGACACAACTCTCAATAGCTCAACTCCTTCTATATAAAAAATGCAAATGTCAGTGTGTCACACTTTTTCAATTAAAGGGATACAACTCTCAATAGCTCATCTCCTTCTATATACTAAATGCCAATGTCAGTGTGTCAGTGTGTCAGTGTGTCACACTTTTTCAATTAAAGGGACACACATCTCAATAGCTCATCTCCTTCGTCGTTGAACTTTTAAAAGGTAAGCTTAAATATTAATGGAATACTTAAATGTAGCGATCAATTTTGAGTTCTGTAGTTTATTGTTGCCTATTGCATCTACTCCTCCCTACCTATTTTGATGAAGGCACAATCAAGAGAATCCCCCCACCGCGAGTGCTAGATTAAATGCCGCCGGATAAGGTGACTTTTAAGCTAGTATATATATATATATATATATATATATATATATATATATATATATATATATATGTGTGTGTGTGTGTGTGTGTGTGTGTGTATATATATATATATATATATATATATATATAGAAGTTCCCAGGTTACGTCTGACCTGATGTACGGCGTTTCTTTATTACGGCGCCATCTCCCACAATAATACGTCGTCATGCGGCGCTATATGAGGGAGACGCCATTTGTGTCGTTTTTTTCTTTTATTAAAACTTTTTGCCCTTCATTATGACTCCCAAGCGTAAGGCAGACTCGTGGGTATTTATATAGGTGAGTTCCGACCTACGTCGAAAATCAGGTTACGTCGCGCCGTAGGGACGGATCTTCGACTTAAGTCGAGGAACCCTCGTATATGTTTATACACACACACACACACACACACACACACACACACACACACACATACATAAAGAACCAAGTATGTCTTAATTTCCTCCTCAAGTCGAATGTTCATATAGTTAAAATCCACGGGAACCTCTCGTCATCGCAGTAGTTTTGCTTTCTATTTCTATGTTCAAGTGTCAATTCGTCGGAGTTTAGTCCAAAAACACTGCCTTAATGAAGCTCCCATTCGTCCGACAAGGAACATAAAACATGTCTGACTTAAACGAGCGGAACGCGGGCGTAATTTGGCGTTGCTCGAACATTTCGGTGCGTTTATTAAAGTC